GATTGCCTCCAATATGTTCAATTTTGGATGATTTTTAGTGTAGGTTTGTGAAATGATGCCCTAGAAATGTGAAAATGTATAGGTTTCCTTAAAGGGCTTACAAGAATCAGTCTGCTTCCATGGGCATCATTTGAAAACTAGGCGATTATCTTCAGTGTTTGTGACAGGCCCTGGGTGGGTGCTGGAGAACATTCAGGAGGCAGGTGAAGGGAGAGTGAGGGAACACTAGCGGTGGTCTCAGGGGAGTGCAGTTAAGACTGGAGCTGGAGAGATGCTGGATTTTCATAATGCAGTTATCCTTTGCATGTTTTTGGTTTTCTAATCTCACACATCTCATTTTTACAATTAAAAAATTAAGAGATGATAGTAATATTTCCAATATCATTGTTAAAATCACTTTCTGTCTTCGCTCATGTTTTTGTAGCACTGTTCAGGACCACGGACACAAATTCCTGAATGTTCCACCGTGTCTCTTCCTCAGTTGTAGCTTGCCAATCTCATTTCTAAACCCTTTTGCTATTACCACGTGGACACTGTGTTTTAACTCCCATCTTCCGTTGTCCTCTTTCATCTGCGGGACTGTTTTCTCTTTGATATGTAAAATGTCTCTGTATGTTATTAATGCAACTTTGGGTTATTTGAATTGCCCAGAGTGATGTTCCAGAGGCGCTCTCAAGTGAATTATAGAAACTGACAGGAGCCTAGATCAATTGGTTATCAATCAGCATTATCCTTGCTCCCGTGGCACTAAAATAAAGTAACTATAGTTTAGTCAAAGATGTAATATAAGTGGAAACCTCAACTGATTTATTGCAAATTTGATGTCTTACTTTTTTTTTTTAAATTTCGGTAACTATGGCATATAAATATTGTCCGAAAGAAACCAGAGAATAGGTTGAGGGAAATTCAGTATTTAATCCTGGATGTCTTTTCTCCTTAAGTTTTCCACTTTTTTAACTTACATTTGAATATTTGTGAGAAAATTACTCATAAAAGTTTAGTTTCTCTTTTTCCAGAATGCCACAATGTTTATTTATTTTAAATTTTATTATATATATATTTTATATGATTCTTCCTTTTTGTACAATGTATGCTTTCTCCTCTCAGGTGTAGTTCCCACAAAATTCCCAGCACCAATTCACCCGTGCACCATCACCATAGTCCCTTGTGTAAGAACACATACCCTTCCCTGTTTTGATCCCTCTCCCTCCCCCTTCCCTGCAGAGTGTCTCTGATTAATAGTAGCCTGTTAATTTTTTTAAAAAATTTATTTATTTATGCATACAAGAGCTGGGGTGCAGGCCAGAGATGCAGGGTGGTGGGTGAGAGGATTCACCTGAGACAGAGTGGGAAGCAGAATAGGCAGATATACTGAAATCCATTGCTGAGGGGAGCAGCAAGAAAGACAGGAGAGGTTTGCTGCACCATGTAGATCACCTCCCCGGCCCGGACTCAAACTTGTGCTCCAGTGGCTGGGGATAGCTTCATAATGCTGATGCTTAATGTTTTGCACCACCAGGGAGGCCCCCTGTTAATTTTGTTTTTAAATTTATTATAATTATTTTTTGTCCTGTTCCCTTATTTAGTTCCCCTACATTCCTTCTATAAGTGAAACCATCCAATATTTTTCTTTTTCCTTCTGGCTTATTTAACTGAGCATAATATCTCCAGCTCTATCCATGTTGCTGTGAATGGCATGAGTTTATTTTTTTGACTGCTGAATAGTATTCCATTGTGTATGTATACCACACCTTGATCCAGTCATCTGTTTTTGGGCATTGGGTTGTTTCTATATCTTACCTATTGTAATTGGTGCTGCAATAAACTTAGATGTTTTTGTGTCCTTTGAGTAGAGAATCCTACAAAGTTAATAGATAATAAAGGCTTAGATTCAAGTAATAAGAGGATACTAATGCATGTGACAGAGATACATAAATTGACTGTTTTTAATGGCCCTAAAGAAAATAACTTCTCTAATTTAAAAAGTAGATAGTAAATTATATTGCAATTTTTGGGGAAGTCATGTGCTCTACCGGTTGACAAGAGAAAGTTACACAGAGGCAGAATTGGGAGAGAAATGGAAGGAACTTGGAGCTTCCATCCCCACCCTTATTTTCTCAAGGGGACCCCAACTTACCTTTCATTCAAATAACTAGGGAGTAGGACTAGATGATCATTAATGTTCTTTCTAGTTGTAAACTTTTAAAATATCAGAGTCCCTCATTAGGTGGCTCTCTGGTTCTCATATCACAACACAGCAGCATTTAATATGCATGCATTAGAATCATGAACAGAGAGCAGGTCACTTACTAGCCAGTGAATTGTCTCCATTATGAACTTTCAACTTTAAATAATGAATCCACAAGGATATGAAATCTCCATTAGACAAAATCCCACCATGCTAAAGTCTCAGGGGTAATTACATTGGCAGTATGCACACATTCATGTGCACACACACAAGCACACACATGTGTGCACTTTGTGGTAGCTTATCAAAGGCTTTACCCTCAGTCAAAATCTATAAAATATGTTACTGTGTAAGTGCAAACTGACTTGTAGATTCCATTAAAACTGGTAAAAATCACTAAACCTTAGACCAATCAATACATTTACCAGTCATCCAGTGACTAAGAAATAAAAACTATGTTTGTGGGGTGATGTCTATGCAGCGATTCAATTAGCTCAGATGCCTGAGTCCAGGAAAAATGGAGAAATGGGACAAGTGGCAAAGATCCTTCTTGAATCACCTGCATAATTAGTGGCAGGTGATATCTAACTGGCAGGACTATTCTAATAATCATAGCAATATGTACTTTGTCTTTGTTTACTAAACATGTGCAGGGCATCATGCGCAGTGTCCTATGCACATTTTCACATAAGAGTTGGGCACCATGATTTAAGCATATTTTACAGATAAATGAACAGAGACTTTGCCTTGACTGACTGAGACTTTGCCTTGACTGACTGAACAGTTATTTATTGAATAACTGCTCCATTCTAGCAACTGCTCTGGTCACTGAATAGATAGAGATGACTCAAACAGGTTGAGAGTGATCTTGGTCAGGCTGGCCTTGTTCAGCACCTCCTGGGCCAAGTCAGGATGCAGATAAGTCAGTGTATAGACAATAGACTGGCCATTCTTGGGTGATGGCAGTGCATTCTGCATGTATGAAGGCTCATGGATATCAGTTGACTTGTGCATAACATAACACAGAATTAAGTTACACCAAAATATGAAGTTTAGATTCAAACATTTGAGGTTAAATGCAAAGGGAGCAATTTTGCTGGTGTTTCAGGGTGGCATGGCAGGGAGCACAAGGGTGCCAATTGCCTTTGCAGCAGTTTTGTGGAACAACAATGTGGCAGGACCTTCATCTCATTTAGCACAATTAGCATAGTCACCAGGATGTGTCTCATGAAGGATTTAAGAGAGATCCAAGAATCACACTCATCCAACTTGATGTTCTTTCCTGTACTTGTTTCTTCCAAGCTTAGCTGCAGGGAAGTGTAATTTGCACCAAACTCATGTGTCTGAGTGCTCCTCTTAATTTGCAAAACTTCTATATAGAACAATCTCAACCCCTGACCTCAGAGACCTTACAGGCTTTGAGGGAGATAGACAGTTAAAAATAAAAGTAAACAAAGATCAAAATTCTAGAGAAGGAAAAACTACAGTCATAGATTTTGTAAATGTGTGGAGACAGATGTTAGCTAGACTTAGTGTGGTCATTATTTTACAATATATGCATATACTGAATCACTGTGTTGTACTCATGAAACATATAATGTCATATGTCAATTATATCAATAGTTAAATTTTTTTGAAAAAAAACAGTGATAGAAGGCAGAGGGAGGAAATTGATTGAAGAAAGAGCACAAAGAACCTGGGGTGAAGAATATGTTCTATATCTGACTGCTGTGATGTTCACAAGACTAAATAAGTTTGTCAGAAGGTATAAAAATTACACTTAAAATTGATAAATTTGATTTTACATAAATGACATTGCAATAAAGCTAGCAAATTGTCGGGGCAAAAAATTATAATTTCAATGCAATTTTAAATAAAAAAATTTGACTTCTAATTTGTTAAAAATTATATATATATGGAGATGCACATACATAATTTTAAACAGATCTATATAACAGATAAAAATTATGTGTATGTACATATACATGCATACACATATTGTGAGACATTTGTAATTTGTTAAAAATGATACAGTATTATACGTATATATGTACATACATATGTATGCATATGTACATGTGTGTATCACATTTTGGAAATGTGAAATATAAAACTAGAATTTAGAAAGGATCTTGAAAAACATCTTCCCTCATATTTCATGTGAGCAATACATCCAAAATGTATCATTCTTGAGAATAATCAAAGTCACTAATCCTTGTCTGCGCTGAGAACTAAAATCATTTAAAGCAGGTTCATTAAACTAACTTCTAAAGCTAAAGAGGCTATGCTGTTATATTGTTTATTAAAGTATTTACACATAGTTAAGAAAAAAGCAAATAAGACCATAATGATAAATTTGGATAATTGCTTTGAAAGGGGAAGACCAAAGAACAATGATAAGTCAGTCAATAGGATCTAATTTATTTTTTAATAAAAATTTTCCTGTATTATTGTCTATTAGTCAAAGTAACTTCTGGAAAGGAAAAAAGTTAGAAACAATCAAATTAGTCTTCCTGAGGAAACTTCAGAAGGCTTCAATGTTCTAAATTTCCTTTCAGTTGATTTCCCATAAAGCTGGTGCTCAGAATTTTTTTTCTCATAAGCTTCCTTTTTACTAGACCTCTTTAACTAGTTATTCCCAGATTATCAGCAAATAGACCATAACACTAACACTGACAAGCATGAATATTTTCCCTAGTATCTTTGTTTCTTTTTATAAAAGCGACCACATAAGGTATTAAATTTAATTTAAAAGAGCTTCCATATTTAACATAATGTGCTAATAACTATCACACACTTGCCTGACAAAATGGTAATGATGTGAAGACTCTGGCTTCATTAGACAGTGACTATCACTGTGGAGGAGACAAGTGCCAATGGCTCACAAAAGGGTTCTGTCCTGTGACACAGAACAAGGTATTACTGTGTAATTTTACATAGAAAAGCATTATAGGGTAAAAACATCGACATGTTCAGTTAAAAATAATCCTTCAAAAGGCCAAAGTTAACAGTTAAAACCATTTTTTAATCTAGAAATTGGCAAAAGATTTATCTAAAATGTTTATATTTTTGCCACTCCATAAATCAAAATTAGTTTTCCATTAAAAAAATTGGATCAGAGATGATAATATTCTTGCCAATTTTTAGCTAAATGCAAATGGAAACATCTGAGATTTTAAACTGAAAACTGAAGTTTATAGATATATAGTAAAACTACTGCTTGTGAGCATTCCATTGTGAGATCTGAATAGCATATGAGGTTATGAATTAACAGTAACTTCAGACACATAAAACCTTTATTTAGTGTCCTTTACTAAACTTATAAACACAAAACTAAAGTTTTGATACTAATGTGTCATTTTTATCATATTATTTTTACCTCTTAAGGAAAGAATGATAAGGTAACTTAATCTTCAAATCTCAAGACTCTTTCAGGATTACCCAAACAAGGCCAGATGCTTGTCACCTGCCCTGCAGTTGTGTTGCTGTTTGATGATTACCTGTCTTATTCTCAAGTCTGTAAGCTACACAACAGGTTGTGTGTGGTTTTTACTTTCCATTTCATCCCTAGGATTTAGTATAATGCCCAGTACTTAGTTGACACTTAAGAAACATTTATTAAATGAATAAAATCTGATTGCCACATTATAATTTCTGTTAGTTTTTCAGAATGAGACCATTGGTTTATTAATGAATATTAGTATAAATATATTAAGAAAATATCTATATTTTCTTCCTTTTGTCTTTGTAATAGGTCCAAATCAGCAAATTGCACACTGTTGTTTTATTATCTCCCTTCTCTGCTTCCCATCCTCTTTCTCCAGCCTGTGAATATTACCACGGGCAAGGAAACGCTGAGGGCCCAGCTCTTTCTCCCCTGACACATAACACAGTCTGATTTCCATCCTGACTCCATTATCAAAACCCTTATCTCCTACTTCTAGTGAAGGTGTCAAAAATTTCTGGAAGAAGAAACCTAGTTCTTCCTCCCCAAAACAATTTTGATATTTTAGAATTCTAATGAAATGCTGGAAAATAATACATAAAATGTTGTTTCTCGAGAAACACTGTATTTTTAAAGTCAAATAGTTTCACATCACCCTGATCAAGATTTACTAAAGTCATTGCAAGCTACAAATTACTTTCATAATATACGTGCTCTTCTTGTTTTAAAGAATTGGCCCCAGTTTCTACTGACATCCTTTCAGTTAAAACCATTAAGTCATTGAATGTAGCATGTATTTACATGACAGGGTATAATCAGACTGAGGATATATAAAATAGATCACCAGGTACTAGTGTGTTAATGACCAAACCATATTTTATGAGGTGGAAAGTCAATGAACATAGAAGAGGTTATTGGCAACAGTGCAACAATGAGATTCTCTTTACTCTGGGGACAGACACAGCCTGCTAACATGGAAACCAACACACTGCTTTACCTTGGGCTATAGAGACAAAGACAGCAATAGAAAAGATTCATTCTTGATAATCAATTTCATTTGCCCCAAGTAGGTCCATTGTGGTAAAAGAGATGATTTTTGCCAAAAGAAAAACTTCAAACAAATGAACTCATTTCCATCATGTTGACAACATCTTAAGTTATGAGATATGCTAAAGTATGTATCCCAAAGCGCCATTATAGAATCATTAAGCTGATTTCCTCATCAAAATATATATTTTTTCTCTTTAAATTATAAGGAAGAAGACAGGTGGTTAAAGACTAATACATTTTAAAAGAACCGATGGTATCTAGCCAGCTCCCCCCTTGTCACACAACTCTTTGAATGATTAGGGGTACTGACTGCCAAATGTGTTTAAAAACTCATTTGAAATGAAGAAAAGACTCAGAAATAAACAAAAAGGGGAGGGAGGAAGGGGACATTTTATTTTTACATTTTTTCTTGCTTTATTTTTAAGATGAGGAGTGAAACGACTTTTATTAAAAAAATGACAAAAGTTGTATTGAGTTAGGATGAAAACTCACATTTCAACTTTAAAATCTGAATTTTTAACTGTGACTATTGAGCCATAGACATGAAATTAGCAGGAGAAAGAATGATGTGATTTTAACATTTATAATATATAAAACTGCTTTCTTAAAATTAAGATCTCTACTTAGACCCTGTAAAAACAATACCTCAGTAATTAATCTATGTAAAGTACAAGAGCACTGAAGTATTAGGAGAGCAATATTCTTCTGTTTGTGGGTCAAATATATGTACTTAATGCACATCTGAACTGCAAATTATAAACATGCCAGTGTAAAGATAAAAATGTAAAAAACAACACTGTAGGTGTGCTCTAAAGCACATAGTTAAAAAGTCATCTTTGTCATCTGCAGTATTTTAACTGTCATTGCAATTGCTGTCCCTCCAATCAAGAAGAAAAGAGAATCTTTTTGAAGAAAAGTATAAAATATTTTAAAATGGACAGAAAACTGAGCTTTCCCAAAAGGTAGAAGAAAAGCTGACACTATGTAAAGTTTATATTAGGATGTACTTGAGGATATTATTGCCACATGCATAGAGAGACACATGGCCATGGATCGGGGTCAAGAATGGCATTAGTGTCCTAATACCAGGGATCAAAATCTGTCATGGCTCATTTGGACTGTGGCACTCCTTAAAAAATCGAGGACATGCTCTGCAATTACCAATCTGCCTGGGCATGTACATAAAGAGAGCTGACAAATGATAAAGGAAATTGGAAAGGTTGAGAGGATGAAGTCAATAATAGATTTATCTCCAGACATTTAGCACTTGAAGTGCATCTGTTATACAATATGTAGACATATTTTACAGCAAATTTGGAGATACTGTGAGCCCACTGGGCAGGGACAATATCTAATTTTATATTCCATATAACTCTGAGCATAACTTTGGTGCTTAATCAGTACAGGGAGGAGGTACCCCAGGCTTACAAAAGGAGAAATGCATGGGAACTTAACCTAGGTTTTTATGTGGGGTAGCAGTGTGGAGGGACAGGGCAAAAAGAGCAAAGCCAAACACAAAATAGAAGAAAGATATTTTATGTACAGCATTAAAGGAGACTGCTCTCTGAAAGTTCTTTCAATCAATAAAAGTCAAAATTTCTATTTTTCTTAAACTCAAGTATAGTTATTGCAAGTTTTTATTCTAAGAGTACAGAAGTTCAATAATTAGTTGAGCATTTTTTTTTCAATAGATATCATTGGAAAAAAATTTAGGAATCAATTTTATGCCAACTTGAAAATTATTTCCCCCAAAGAATTGATCTTGTTCTTTCAAAGAATATATTTCACTTCATGACTATTGTAAATCCCATTAAACATACATATTGTAAAGTATTAGCTTTTATATTTTAGTAATTAAAATAATATGACCCCATTTATAAGATATATGTAAGAGAAAAAATGATGCCTATTTATTTACATAAATGTGGTGCACCATGTGCATATATATGTGCGTATACATTTTTCATATGCATGTATGTTACTGAGAAATTTTGACTTTACTAGCTATGTTTTTCCCTCTACCTGTTTTCTTTGCTATATCACACACATATGGAAAAACATGCATGCTTTAAGGCTTTAATTTTGTGTTTTGGTTTGATCTACTTAAAATTCACATGAAAGGACTGAAAATGAAATATTTTAAAATATTCTTGCATCATAACTTACTGCCCTAAGAAAGGAAACAATATATATATACACATTATTTAATACATATTTTATTTAATGTATGTGTATATATGTATTTATTAACCTTGCTGGTACTTATTTTGTTGTACATGAGGCTAAATCAATCAATTTAGCTAATTTTTTTTTTACCCACAGGAACTATTTATGACCCTTTAACTGGAAAGGGCAGTTGGCTGACTTGCCACACTATCTCCACACACATTTATTTTGTAGTCACTGTGTGAATTTCTGGTGCCTCTATTTTAGATGTCAATTAATATGAATGATTTCCCTTAGTTGTTGGAGAAAGGTATTTGAGCAGTGTGAACAGGACCTGGCACACAGACCTTTGATGTAGAAGGGTTTTACGTTGTGAATGTGAAACCAATTGCTGAGCATTGAGTGGGGTGTCACTCTTTCCCCAAACCACAGGTCTTTGTTCTGTCTTGAGAGTTTATTTTTCTAAGGCATTTCACATCAGAATGAACTGTCTTAGACGGGGAGTGAACCCGTAATGAGTGCGGTAGACAGCTTGCCATCGTCTCTTTCACCGAACTGCCTGCAGTCCACGTGTATGCAAGGTGACTGATGAGAAAAATGACAAATTTACTACGATCTGATACACGCATTTAAAAAGATGTACTGAGATCAAAATTACTTATTTTTAGTGTTTTCTTAAAGTTATGCCGATTCATTTGCTTCCCCACATTTCCTCCCTCTAAAAAATCAAATGCATAAACTTGGTCCATTGCATAAACAACACAGAAAAAGTTTGGGAATGATTTTAATATCTAAGTTTTACACTCTTAAAATAACATAAATGTTTCTGATTTTAATATGTAAAAGTAAGTATCATGTCATCTATCTTGGCTAAAATAAATAGTTTCTCTTAAGAGTATTTTTTTACAAAAGGAAAGTCAGATTTTGGCATTAGCTCAACAAAGCTTAAGCTAATATCCAGGAAAGGACAGGGTAAACAGAAAGAGTTGTTGACTTTTATTTTCCTGAACACATATTGTAACAACCTTTTGTAACTTTTAAGCTGATAAAATCTAGCTACATTACAGTAACAGGTATCTGAAAAAACAATTGAAAGACATTGTTTTAATGGAAGAGCTTGCTAAGGAACTCAAAGGCATCTTTTCTTTTGCTAAGTAGAGACTTAACACAACAGTTCTACAACAGTTAAACTATGTTTTATATCAGCTTTCAATAATCATCCACGATTATTCAAGTAA